TGGGGTCAGATATGCCCCCAAAGCCACCAATGGGGTCAGATATGCCCCCAAAGCCACTACTGGGGTCAGATATGCCCCCAAAGCCACCACTGGGGTTGGTTACACCACCAAAACTAATACCAGCACCGTCACTGAAGCTATTTCTGGTACAAGCTCCTTGGTTGAAGTTGACATCAATGGTGGGATCTGTATTTTCTTGGGCTCCGGGTTCAAAATCAAAGGAAAGTCTGGCCCAGGGCTGCATATCATCACCCAACTCTTCCCTTGTTAGGCAGCCAATATCCATGTCATCCCAATTCCAGGGCCCAGCCACAGCTTCCTCTCCAATCCCCATTTGGGCTGTTGCCTCAGCCCTGGCCTTAGCCTCAGCCACAGCCACAGCTGCAGCCTGAATGTCCATCTCAACTGCCTCGCGGTACTGAGTAGCCCATTCTTTGGGATCTTTCTTCTGTACCTAAAATGGAAATTATAATTATTATAAGACAAAGAGCCCTTACAGTTACATGTGAAGCACCCACTATGGGATCCACTCAAAACTAATAATGGTAAATAAAAATTTTCTAATGTTCTGATGGGTCAGTCTGGATTTCAAACTTCATCTCTGATAACTTAGGAACTCAAGTTATGTCCTTGGACAAGCTTATATCACAGACTCCAAATGTTCCTGTTTGTAATATGGGAAATGGTAAGAAACCAAGTGTGTTATAGATTGAGTTTTGGGGAAACCCAAAATTCTTATGTTGAATAATAAATCACTAATCATAGCTGTATCTGCAGACAGGGCCTTTTATGAGTATAACTTCAGTAAATGGGTGAGACTTTGATCAAATAGCATCCTTATAAGATGAGACATGAAAATGAACTCAGGCCTGCTCTATTCTATGCAAAGATGCAGGAAAACTTACCATCTATAAGTCAGAGAGAGAGCCTATAGCAGAAACTGAGTGTACTGGATCTTAACCTAGGGTTTTTATATCCAGAACTGTTGAATGTAACAATTTCTGTATCCTAAGATACACAGTTATTAATATTTTATAACAGCAGCCTGAACTGACTAGTACAGTATATAAAAAATAACTGGACAATGAAAGATCTGTATCTTACAGTATGGAACATTGATGAGGCTTTATGTATTTATATACAATCCATTCGTTGTCTCATACCTGTCTACCACTGCACACAGCCTGCCTCAGTTAGAAGCATCCTGTTCCATTAACATGCCAAGAGCGGGAAGTTTATTACCTTGCATACAAATTTCAGAACTTTCATCTTGCTAGTCTCATGGTAAGACCGTAGGCCCCAGAAGAATTCATACTCAGGTGGTCTGCTGTTGGGGACCCTCTTGTATTCCAGATATCTTGGAGAAAGGAAATGAAACTTGATTCTAAACAAGCAAAAATATTATGTACCCACCAGACCTCAGATGAAGCAATCTCCTCTAAACAAACACCTGGGGAAATGTTTTCAAGGCCCTTTAGACCCAGACTCATTCCCATACATAATTCCATGCAAAGTAGTTATTGGCAACACTTATACAGGACACAAGACCACAGACAGGTTTTGTCTCTTATGAATACTTACCCCAGATTCCCGTAGGTGTGCTGTTAATAAATTGGCCTTTTTTTGCACCCTTTGTAAGGGTCCTAATACAGCTTAACTACAAGAATTTTCAATAGAACTCAAGTCTAGGACACAGAGTGCCCTTCTGAGTATAAGAAAGGCACTAAGTACTTTTGAACCAGAGCACTTCAGAGCTACAGAGCCTTGAACACTACTCACTTCTGCTTCACAAATTCATCTGTGATGAGTTTCTTCACTTCTCCAAAGAGTGAATGTTTTACCCTAGCAAAAAAAAAAAAAAAAAAAAAAAAGAAAGAAAAGAAAAGAAAGAAAGTAAGCAGTGAATACAGACCAGAACTACTCAAATGAAAGCAGAGGTATTTTCCAACATATAGTCCATGGCAGTCTCAACCAGATGAAGAGAGTAGTGAGCATATGGCCACTAGAAGAAAACAGTGGAGGCCTGATGGCGCTTTGTCAGGGATGCCTGAAGGTTCACCTTACACCTCATCTCAGAACAGACAAAAGACATAAAGGAGAAAAGAAGCAGAGTTCAGAACCATTTTGTCATTCAGCCATGTAAGAAACCCGCCATCCCCTCCCCACACATTCTCCACCAGACCACCAGGCTGATGCAATCCTGGGAGCATCCTCTCTTGCCAAAAGACAACATGGACAGCAAGCGCTGAGAGAGCCCAATCATACCCAGGGTGCAGCCCCAACTTGCGCAGCATGTCCCAGATGGCAGCTGCAAGAGGAGGCAAGAAGGAGACAAGGACAGAAAATGAGCATCTGGAATTCAGGCAACAGCCACCTATTCGACTGCATGCCCAACCACTCACCCTCACTGGCCTTGTTGCCCTTCATGAAAATAACACTCAGAATCACCATGAGGAGACCCAGCTTAGGTGTGTCACTGGTCCTAAGAGAATAACAGGACATAGAGCAAGTTTATGTTCATGAGCCATCATCTGTCTGGAAGCTTGCTAGGCCACCCTCTCCTAGATCCCTCAGATAGAGACTTCAGCCTACTCTATGGTCCCAGCCATCTGTGACCCAAGGCAAGGAGCATTCACTCTTGAACCAAGCTCTCCATGCACCAAAATGCTATTCCTACCTAGGGTTAGGACATGGGAGAATGCCTGCCAACCCAGGCACGTGAGCATTCAGTCAATGGATGTCTTTTCTTTCTCTTCCAAAATCCCAAACTCCCCTGAGAGAGCTCTCCATGGAACTCTAGTGACATTCCTGCTCTCAAACATTGTGGTTCTCCCCAGAAATCCCTCCCTCATTTGAGAGTCACCTTCCACAGCCAGGCCAGGCACCTGGTAGAAGAGACAAGTAACAACAGGCTAATTTTCTGGGGGCTTGTTGGAGAGCAAGCCACCCTGACAGCAGTAATGCCCCACTCCAGGCTCTGAAACCCTTCTCTCAGTCTAGCACCATTACTACCCACAGGGATCCAGCTATGTGTGGGAACAGGGGCAGGGGCATTTAGGCCCTCTTTCCTCAGCTTCTAATAGCCATGGAGAGAGGGATGGATGAACGGAAGCAGAATCCCCTTCCCACCCTAGCACTTTTCCAGCTTACGTTCCCAGTATGCCTGAAGAGGACTCCTGAATGCTGAGAAGAATATACAAGCTATTTTGCTTATCAATTTCCTTCAGATTGATTCGAAACATCTGCCAAATAAAAGAACAACATGTGAGTTCTCAAAATATATCTTAAGTAACAGCATGTTGGACATTCTGCAGATTGTTGTATACCTAAGTAAGAGTTTTGTGTGAGAGAGAAAATGCATGTTAAACATATAGTTCAGTAACAAGCACACATTAAAGTTGTAACAAACATAAGAGGGGCATCTACATCATCTTTATAATCATTGAGCATCTGCAATGCATGAGACGGTGTATCCAGCAGCACACAGAAACCAGGACTAAGCTGCACAGCTTTCCTACTAGCTGGGTTTCCACCACTGACTTGCTGTGTGGTCAATGGCTCTCCCTTCCTAGGTCACCATGTGCTCATCTCCATAGTGATGAGGATGTATAGTAGGTCTCTGCTTCCCTCCAGGAGGGTGACCATATACCTTTCTTCTGTTTAAAGTTTCCCTGGTGAGCCCATCCGCCAGGGATGCCCCTTCACCTTCTCCAGAGCGTAGCTTGCTCGTTCAATGATCTCTGGGAAATAATCCTCATATTCTTGGACGACATCCTTCAGCATGTCTACAAGGAGGAGACAGAAGATGCTAAAGTGTACAGAGGTCAGATGACTGCAGTCTTTTTTCCCAGCCCTGTGTAGTCAGGGAAGCTATGGTGAAATATGATTGTGGCAGCTGGGGTCCTATAAGAGGAGGTGGTGGATGTAAACGGTTACCCACAGGCCATGAGGACAGAGAGTAGGGACAAAGAGAGCTCAAACCAGCTACCTGAGCGCTTGATTGGGATCTTTGTCTGGTCTTTAAGCAACAGGTATTTCACCAACTTATTTGCCTAGAAAAGGAAGAGTTAGGGAGGTATCAATCCAGTGGCAGAACACTTGGAAGAATGTCAGAGAATGAACAGAATGACAAACAGGACTTTGGCAGATTGAATTCTTACCTTTTCCTGCAAAATGGCCACATCTCTGGGTGGTGGAAGCCTCCTGCCCCATGGGAACCGCCTGAAATTCCCAGTTCTCTCATCTCCATTGGGATGCTTAGGCTTTATCAATGGAAAAAAATGTCTAGAGTTACCAAATGAAAGAGAGTGCTATTTCTTCTGGAAAGTCCCCCTAGAATCTAGAGGGCTTACCCTCCCCTATAGAGGGGCTTGGGGCTAACAATGGCTACTCTGACTCCCAGGCTTTTCTTTTACTGGTTTCTAAGTTTGTCATCTCCCAGCATACAAGCTAACCAAGGACATGGCCTGGATTTTTCCCTTTTCTTTGGCTACCAGCATGTTGTGGGTTAGATAGATCACTTAGGTGTTAGACAGATCACTTAATTCTGGGACTTTGTGTTTGGGACTTATAGTCCCCAGTTAGTAAGAAATCCACATATAACCTAGGTAAATGTATATGACAGAAAGTCTGGCACATGGTTAAACATTACATAAATACAAAGTGAGTCCCAAATAGATCTTGACTAAATACACAAATATATTCCCCTACCAATCTACAAACTATTGGAGATAACAAAAATGGATCCCATTCTTCTCAACATATCCTATAGCTGCTATGAACACAGGACATGGACAAGAAAGTAGCACAAAGTTAAGAATAAACCCACAGATCTTACCTTCCGGTTCCTCTTGCCCCGGGTTCTGGTCGTGGGTTCTAAAGTCAACTGAGCCAGATAGTCATCTGCCAAGGCCTGGACAGCAGCAGCAACCTGAGTCTCCAGGGTATTCATGTTGGCCTGAGAGGCCTGAGCTCCTCCTTGGTCAGTGATCTGAGGCTGGCTTTCAGTTGCCCGAGCCTTATTGGCAGCCTTTCGAGCCCTAGACCCTCTCCTAATCTGTACAGTGACTGATAGGGCATGGTTTGAGACCATTTGAATGGCAGGTGGAGCCTCAGACGTCTCAGAAGCAGAATTTGAGCCTTTATTGGGAGCCTTCTTCCCCTTGGGCTTTTTGGACCTTGCAACTACAGCTGATGCCTCAATCTGTCTGCTAGCTACCTCAGGGGCATTAGAGGGCTCTACATATTCAGTATCAGTATTTGTGGTCTTAACAGGTGTTCTTCTTCCTTTGGAATTTTTCTTGCCTCGGACAGTGGCTGCTGTAGCCTGGATACTACCTGTCTCCCTGGCAGCTTGGCCTTGGGTAGTAGCAGCTTGGCCTTGGGTAGTAGTAGCAGCTTGGCCTTGGGCAGTAGCAGCTTGGCCTTGGGTAGTAGCTGTGTGGGTGGCAGCTGAAGCCAGTGAGATCTCAGTGGCACTAGGTACATTCTTATTGGCAGCCTTATTCTTTGCCTTAGAGGCTTTCTTGGATTTGCCCATAGCTATCAAGGCTTGGGAATTAGCTGACTCATTGGCAACTGGAGACTGGATAGTTGGTGCAGTAACTGGCAGGTTTAGGGCCTGTAATGGTGACTTAGGCTGTGTACTGACATCCTCACTGCCAGTTTGGGATACCTTGGGAGTAACTCTCTGTGACTTGGCATTCTTGGTCTGAGCAGTAACTGAAGCCTGGGTATTGGGTGCCTCTGTAGTAGCTGAAGCCTGACTGATCTGGGTGAACACTGGTAAGTTTAAAGCCGGCAAAGTTACTTTAGGCTTGTTGTTAGCATTATCATTGGCCGATGGGACTGGAGGGGGAGCGGGTGTGGTGTTAGCGTTAGGCTTGTTATTCTTCTTGTTCTTGTTCTTGTTTTTCTTAGATCGGTTGCCAACTGGTGGGTCATTGGTTGCTGGCAACTGGGTGTGCGTCACCGGGACGCTGTCCTTTTCTGTGGTCTCCCTCTGTGCATCTGGAGAGATAGGAAGCCCTAGGCTCCCAGCGGGAGGCAGAGGGCACTACATACTTAGGATTATGATCCTATGGGCGGCCACCCCGCCTCCCTACAACAACCCCTCTCTACAATTGCCTCCCCTCCTGAGCAATTTCATTGAAAGGGGTTTGAGAAAAGGGGAGGGAGCAGGAGACAGTAAGGATGAGTTTCCTCTTCCCTGAACCATGCAAAGGAAGACTGAGACAGGTAAGGTAGGGAATTATGGAACTACACAATGGTAATAGGCTCCAGAGTGGTAAATGAATTCAGGGCATGACAGACCGCCCGGTAAGAATGCAGAGAGGTCTCACCTGGAATGTGGGCACCCGAAAACTATAGTCATTTCTTCTATCCATCTTTCTGAAAGGCTAATAGCTGAGCCTGAAGGAAATAAGCCTGAATTAGAGGCGAATGGGGGGGGGGGAGATTCATCAGAAGTCTTGCTAAATCTGAAGGGTGAAAAAAAAATTGCCTAATTTGGGCCCCAAATCTTTCTGGGTTTGCCTACCTAGAAGCCCAGAACATGTAGTTTCTGAGCTCCAGCATCTTTTGCTTCCAAGATGGCAAATTCGTTCTACGACATACACCTTAATATCGTCTACCACACCGCAACCTGACAGTGCGCATGCGCACAGAATGAGAGAGAGCGCGCGCGAGAGACACGCACACGCGCGCACACATACACGCGCACGCGCGCGTATATACACACACACACACACTCACATACACGCGCGCGCGCATGATAACAGGTTTTCCAAATGCGCCTGGTCCTCAAGGCCCTCAGTACGCATGCGCTATGGTGGACAGGACCATCTCTAACCATCTCATTTCTACATACGTCCCCAGCTCTCAGAGCTACAGAACATCTTGATCCCACCGCCTTCTCCTCCTGCATCATTTCTCAGCCCCCCCCACCCCGCCCCGCGGGGCCACTTCGCGCCGCCCCCTCCTACCACCTCCTCCTACCACCCCCGCACCCCGCCCCCGTTCCTGTGCGGCCGCGCCAACCCGCGCCAACCATCAGCCACTCACCCAGACTGTGGTTCCGCAGTCCTCCGCACCTCCCACCCCTCCGCAAGCCCCCCCCCCCCCGCGCCGCAGTCGCCTTCGCCAACACTGCACCCCCCCCCCTGGTCCACGTCTGCAAGGGCCCTGCCCCGCCCTTTCTGCAACATTGATACCCCACCCTCAAATCCAACAGGGATACCCCTTCATGACTCCCAGCTCCCTAACCCTACCAGGTCATCCCTCCTTTCAAAGCAGTGCTAACCGGATCCTAGCCCTCCCTTTCTCCCTTCCAAGCCTGGTCCTTTGGCCATTTAAAGAGGATTCTGTCGCTCCTTTCTTGGTCCAGATTCAATTCATCCTTTCTGTAACCCATAACAGGGTCCAGCCCCCTTTCTTCAGCTTGATCCAGGTCCCTTACCTCCCTCCTGAACTCGACCCTCCTCCCTTTTTGCTACAGCCAGAACGTTTTCTAGATGTTTCCTTTCCACAATCCCAACCAGGTCTACATCCCTTCTTTCCATCCCCAAACTGAGTCTAGACTTTCCCGTAGCCCGAGATTCCGCCCCCGCCTTTACCCAGTAAGAATCGGGTCCAAGCACCTCTAAACCCACCACATCGAAACCGCTAGATCCTGAATCCAGCCAGGTTCTTGTCAAACCTTAATGTTGTCTGAAGCCAGAGACCCCGAAGACGCGGCTTTGAAGCCCCTACGGGGTCTTTCCCAAAGCTGGCCACCTCAGCTCACCTCGCCCTCGTGAGCCGAGAGGACGTCTGCTCGCTCCAAGCCTCTCCTCAGGTCTGAGCTTGTAACCCGCCCCCCTGGCCGGAAGTGGTCCTGCCTCTTTCCGCCTCCAGAGGGGGGTCTCCGTCCCTACCAGCTCGCCCCACCCCCTCCCTTCTTAACGGCTTCCCAGTCTCCTCAGTGTGGCGCATCTGTTTATTACCTCTTGTTCAGCAGTCACACCTATTCTCCATTTCATTTCTCTGTCCCCCATTCCATGTCCCTGTTTCTAGTCGATTTTTTCAGTTTCTCCTGAAGAGAATGACCTCAGAGCTCCCACGCCTGTCCCTACAACACTAATTACATGGCGCAATATACTGTGAGAACAGAGGATTATGTCATATTCATTACTACCTTTCAAATACGACTAGATTAAGATAGAGGCGCTAAACGTTAAAAGGATGCTCTCAAATAATTCATATATAATATATTTAAAT